GAAAGCATTCCCCTTAAGAACGGGAATCAGACAAGGATGCCCTTTATCACCACTCTTATTCAACACTGTGCTGGAGGTCCTAGCCAGAGCAGTCAGGCTAGAAAAAGAAATGAAGGGCACCCAAACTGTTAGGGAAGAAGTCAAAGTATCTCTATCTGCAGATGATATGATCTTATACAGAGAGAACCCCAAAGAATCCACAAGAAAACTACTGGAACTAATAGAAGATATCAGCAAAGTTTCAGGATACAAGACAAACGTACAAAAATCAGTTGGATTCCTTTACACCAACAAAGAGAACCTCGAAGAGGAAATCACCAAATCATTACCATTTACAATAGCCCCAAGAAGCTAAAATACTTAGGAATAAATCTAACCAGAGACATAAAAGGCCTATACAAAGACAACTACAAGACACTACTGCAAGAAACCAAAAGACAACCGCATAAGTGGAAAAGTATACCTTGCTCATGGGTAAGAAGACTAAACATTGTGAAAATGTCAATTCTACCCGAAGTGATCTACAGATACAATGGAATCCTGATCCAAATTCCAACGGCATTTTTCAGTGAGATGGAAAAACAAATCACCAACTTCATATGGAAAGGGAAGAGGCCCCAGATAAGTAAAGCATTACTCAAGAAGAAGAACAAAGTGGGAGGCCTCGCACTACCGGATTTTAGAACCTACTATACCGGCACAGTAGTCAAAACAGCCTGGTACTGGTACAACAACAGATACATTGACAAATGGAACAGAATTGAGAATCCAGACATAAATTCATCGACCTATGAGCAGCCGATATTTGACAAAGGCACAAAGTCCATTTATTGGGGGAAAAGATGGTCTCTTTAACAAATGGTGCTGGCATAACTGTATATCCATCTGCAAAAAACTGAAACAAGACCCATACCTCACAGCATGCACAAAAACTAAATCAAAATGGATCAAAGACCTAAATATAAAATCGAAAATGATAAAGATCATGGAAGAAAAAATAGGGACAATGCTAGGAGCCCTCATCATGGCATAAACAGAATATGAACCCTAAGTAACAATGTACAAACACCAGATAACTGGAAGCTCCTAAAAATCAAACACTTATACTCATCAAAAGACTTCACCAAAAGAGTGAAAAGACAACCTACAGACTGGGAAAAAAATTTTGGCTACAACATATCTGATCAGTGTCTAATCTCTAAAATCTACAAGATACTGCAAAACCTCAACAACAAAAATGACAAATTACCCAATTAAAAAATGAGCAAAGGATATGAACAAGAACTTCACCAAAGAAGATATTCATGTGGCTAACAGACACATGAAGAAATGCTCACGATCATTAGTCATTAGAGAAATGCAGATCAAACCTTCAATAAGATTATCATCTCACCCCAACAAGGCTAGCATTAATCCAAAAAACACAAAATAATAAATGCTGGAGAGGTTGTGGAGAGACTAGAACACTTATACAATGTTGGTGGGAATGTTAAATGGTACAACCAATTTGGAACTCAATTTGGTGCTTCCTTAAAAAGCTAGAAATAGAAGTACCATAGGATCCAGCTATCCTGCTCCTTGAAATATATCCTAGAGAAATAAGAGCCGTCACACGAATAGATATATGCACACCCATGTTCACTGCAGCACTGTTCACAATAGCAACAAGATGGAAACAACCTAGGTGCCCATCAACGGACGAATGGATAAACAAATTATGGTATATCCACACAATGGAATACTACGCAACAATAAAGAACAGTGATGAAACCATGAACATCTTACAACATGCAGGAATCTGGAGGGCATTAGGCTGAGTGAATTTAGTCAGTCACAAAAGGACAAATATTGTATAAGACCACTATTATAAGAACTCAAGAAAAGGTTTAAACACAAAAGAAAACATTCTTTGATGGTTACGAGGGTGGGGAGGGAGGGTGATGGTTATTTACTAACTAGATAGTAGATAAGAATCATCTTAAGTGAAGGGAAATACAGCACACACTATACGGGAAGTCAGCACAACTGGACTAAACCAAAGCTAAGAAGTTTCCTGAATACAATCAAACACTTTGAGGGACAGAGCAGCAGGGGTAGGGGTCTGGGGACCATGCTTTCAGGGGACATCTAGGTCAACTGGCATAACAAAACTTATTAAGAAAATGTTCTGCATCCTACTTTGGTGAGTGGCACCTGGGGTCTTAAAAGCTTGCAAGCGGCCATCTAAGATACATCAATTGGTCCCAACCACCTGGAGTAAAGGAGAATGAAGAATACCAAAGACACAAGGAAAGTACTAGCCCAAGAGACAGAAAGGGCCACATAAACCAGAGACTTCATCAGCCTGAGACCAGAAGAACTAGATGGTGCTGGGCTACCACCAGTGACCACCCTGACAGGAAACACAGCAGAGTTCCTGATGGAGCAGGAGAAAGGTGGGGTGCAGAATTCAAATTCCAGTGAGAAGACCAGACTTAATGGTCTGACTGAAACTGGAGGAAGCCTGGAAAGCTTGGCCCCTGGATTCTCTATCAGTGCAAAACTAAAAGAATTTCCGAGACCAACTCTTCAGATAGGGATTGGACTGGACAGTGGGACATAAGGCGATACTCGTGAGGAGTGTGCATCTTAGGTCAAGTAGATACAAGAGACTAAACAGGTAGCTTCTGTCCGGAGGTGAAATAGGAAGGCAGTGGGTTAGGAGCTGGTTGAATGGACATGCGGAATCAGGTGGAAAGGCGGAATATGCTGTCACAGCATGGGGAGAGCAATTAGGGCCACATAACAATGTATGTACAAATTTTTGTATGGGAGACTAACTTGAAATGTAAACTTCATTTAAACTACAACAATTAAAAAAAAAAAAGTAACTAAAAAAAAAAAAAAGACAAATAACCCAATTAAAAAATGAGCAAAGGATAGTCAATTCTCCAAAGAAGATATACAAACGGCCAATAAGCACATGAAAAGATGTTCAACATCAACAGTCATCAGGGAAATACAACTCAAAACTACAATGAGATAGTACTTCAAACACACCATGATGGCTATAATAAAAATGACAGGCATTGTTGATAATGTGGATAAACTGCTGGTAGGAGTGTAAAATGGTGCAGTTGCTTTGGAATACAGTTTGGTAGTTCCTCAAAAGGTTAACGAGATAGAGTTACCATATGAGCTAGCAATTCCACTCCTAGGTATATACCCAAGAGAAGTAAAAATATACAGCTAACTCAAAAAGTTGTACATGAGTGTTCACGGCAGCATTATTCATAAAACCTAGAAAGTAGAAACAACGCAAATGTCCATCAACTGATGACTGGATATACAAAATGTGGTGTATTCATAGAGTGGAATATTATTTGGCCAAAAAAAAGAAATGAAGTACTGATACATGCTACAACATGGATGAACCTGGAAAACAATTCATTAAGAAGCCAGTCACAAAAGGCCACATATTATATGATTCCATTTATATGAAATATCCAGAATAGGCAAATCCATAGAGACGGAAAATAGATTAGTAGTTACCAGGGGTTGGGAGCAGTTGTGGGAAATGGGAAGTGACTGCTAATGGGCTTCGGGTTTCTCTTGGGGGTTAAAAAAATGTTCTGGAACTAAATAGTTGTGATCGCTGTACCACCTCATGAATATACTGAACACCATTGAATTGTATATTTTAAAAAAGTGAATTTTATAGTATGTGAATTATGTCTCAACAAAGTTTTATTTAAAAAGCACCACATGTATGTATAAAGGTATAAAAGAACAGACAATAAATTAGTAAAAAGGGTAGATGGTGAAAATAAAGGGATACCCAGCAAGTTTCATATATGACCACTGAAAAATGTCTTCCAAAATGAAGTTCAAATACTGTTGATATCAGGCCAAGCCCAATATATTGTTGTATTTGAGGTACCGGTAGCACTGGCTTAAATTTTCTACATTTTTTTAAAACGTGATTAAACAATATTTATAATGGGAAAATAATATTTCTGATAATCATGTTAGAAAGTAGCTCTTCTAATAACTATTTAGACTTTGATTTCTTTCTCTGCCTTCAGAGAAAAGTTAAATGTTTTCTAAATGCCACATTTTTAGAAACTTCAGGAGTGAGAAAAGTGAATGATGGTAAATGGGCATAAGGGGTTGTTTTGGTGTGATGAAAATGTTGTAAAAGTGGATCGCAGTGATTGCTGCACTACTCTGTAGATCTACTAAAAATCACTGAATTATTTATACATTTGAAATGGGTAAATATGGTATATAATTATGCCTCAATAAAGCTGTTAAAAATAATTTAATACTGTTAATAAGTATCTCATTTATAGTATCTAACAAGCTTTAGTATCTATAGGTTAACTGGAAAATGGGTATTTATTTACTTTCTGACTTTACTTACCAGGTATGACTTCTGGGTAACCAATTTTCTTTCCCAACTTTTTCAATGCAAAACTTCTGTGGTCCATTGCTCCCTGTAATATAGTTTGTCAACACAATGGTTCTCAAAGTGTGGTCCCCAGTCTAGCAGTATCAGCACCACCAAGGAACTTGTTAGAATCACAAATCTCACCCCAGACTACTGAGTTAGAAACCCTGGGGTGGGGCTTAGCAATATATGTTTTAAAAAGCTTCCAGGTTGATTCTGATGAGTGCTACAGTTTGAAAACCACTGTGTTAGATGTATGCCCAAGAGGAGAAAATGCAGTTTTATTTAGCATTCCATAGCTAGAATAATACAATATTACGACTAATTAATAATAGCTCACATAAGAATAGAACACATAAAAAGCATAATTTTAGTGGTGTTAAACACAACAGAGAAACTACAATCCACGGTCCTATACAAAAACACTTGATTTTGATGCAGAATTGTTAAAACTTTATAAAATAGAAACATCCTAATTAGTTGCCATTGAGTCAACTCTGACTAATGGTGACGTCATGTGTGTTAGAAAACTGTGTTCAATAGGGTTTTCAAGAGCTGATTTTTCAGAAATAGACTGCCAGGCCTTTCTTCTGAGGTACCTCTGGGTGGACTCAAACGTACAACCTTTTCGTTAGCAGCAGAGCCCATTAACCATTTGCACAACCCAGGGACTCCATAAACATCCGAGAGAATTCAAATATTAACTGTGCTTAGGTATTCTGTGCTTATAGATCCTGTAGGGCATACCTTTTCTAATTTACACACACAAACACTCCAATTTTTGCCTCTCATCTACTTTCTTCTGGACAGAGCTGTGAATGGTGATCTTAAACTCTCGTTTTTTTAAAAGGTTACTACTGCTCCCTAGAGAGCCTTTATTGGTGGTCACAAAGATTGGTACTGCTATGAGACTTTTTAATTACAATGGGCCTGGGACACTAAATACTCTGAAATGTATGGTACAGTCCTGCACAAATAATTTTGTGTCTCACCCAACTAAACCCAGTACGAATATTTATTGTTAGTACTTTTGTATCACATAATATTGGACTGTTTTTACAAGTAGTTATGTGAAAAGTCCAGTAATACAAAAGAAATCATTATGAAAAAAGAACTTTGAAATGATTAATTAAGCTTGAAATTACTAAATAATTTATTCACGCTGCACATTCTCTCTACTTAATATATCTCTAACCACATAGATAAAAAGGAGTTTAGTTCAATAGTGCTTAATATATAACAGAGAAGGTTCTGGTTTAAACAGACTTCAAATATCAATTATTAAAATAACAGAAACATATGAAATGAAGTTGCTGAATTTCATTAAGAAAGGCCGTTTTACAAATATATCATATTACTCTCATCCTGAATACTTCCTAAAGTTTTATAGGACAATGATTTTAAAAAATTTAGCTGTAAAAATTATATACTGAAATTATTTATTTTTAGGTTGACTGCTGTTTTCAGTCTTACTCTGACACTGTCCCTAAAGGTCTATCAAATATCTTCTGTGTAGACTGTTGCACGTATATTTCTATTCTCAGCCAACTTTCAAATGATATGGCCTCCCAGACCTTTTTAAGTATCAGAGTCTTGGCCTGTAGTAGAATTTCACGATGTTGTTGTTGTTAGGTGCCGTCAAGTTAGTTCCGACTCATAGAGACCCTATGTACAACAGAACGAAACACTGCCCAGTCCTGCGCTGTGCCCACAATCGTTGTTATGCTCGAGCCCATTGTTGCAGCCACTGTGTCAATACATCTCCTTGAGGGTCTTCCTCTTTTTCACTGACTGTATACTTTATCAGGCATGATACCCTTCTCCAGGGACTGATCCCTCCTGACAACATGTCCAAAGTATGTAAGACACAGTCTTCCCATTCTTGCTTTTAAGGAGGATTCTGGTTGTATTTCTCCCAAGATAGATTTGTTCATCCTTTTGGAAGTCCATGGTATATTCAATATTCTTCACCAACACTACAATTCAAAGGCATCAATTCTTCAGTTTTCCTTATTCATTGTCCAGCTTTTGCATGCATATAATGCGACTGAAAACACCATGGCTTTGGTTAGGCACACCTTAGTCTTCAAGGTGACATCTTCGCTTTTCAACACTTTAAAGAGGTCTTTTGCAGCAGATTTGCCCAATGCAATGTGTTGTTTGATTTCTTGACTGCTGTTTCCATGGGTTGTTGATTCTGGATACAAGTAAAATGAAATCCTTGACAACTAAAATCTTTTCTCCATTTATCATGATGTTGCTTATTGGTCCAGTTGTGAGGATTTTTGTTTTCTTTATGTTGAGGTGTAATCCATACTGAAGGCTGTGCTCTTTGATCTTCATCAGTAAGTGCTTCAAGTCCTCTTCACTTTCAGCAAGCAAGGTCGTGTCATCTGCATATTGCAGGTTGTTAAATGAATCTTCCTCCAATCCTGATGCCCCATTCTTCTTCACATAGTCCAGCTTCTTGGATTATCTGCTCAGCATACAGACTGAATAGGTATGGTGAAAGGATACAACCCTGATGCACACCTTTTCTGACTTTAAACCATGAAGTATCCCCTTGTTCTGAGAGAACAACTGCTTCTTGATCCATGTACAGGTTCCTCATGAGCACAATTAAGTGTTCTGGAATTCCCATTCTTCGCAATGTTATCCATAATGTTATGATCCACACAGTCGAATGCCTTTGCATAGTCAATAAAACACAGGCAAACATCTTTCTGGTATTCTCTGCTTTCAGCAAGGATCCATCTGACATCAGCAATGATATCCCTGCTTCCAGGTACTCTTCTGAATCCAGTCTGAATTTCTGGCAGTTCCCTGTCGATATACTCCTGAGGCCGCTTTTGAATGATCTTCAACGAAATTTTACTTGCATGTGATATTAATGATATTGTTCAATAATTTCTGCATTTGGTTGGATCACCTTTCTTGGGAATAGGCATAAATATGGATCTCTTCCAGTCAGTTGGCCAGGTAGCTGTCTTCCATATTCCTTGGTATAGACGAGGGAGCACTTCTAGCACTGCAACTGTTTCTTCAAACATCTCAATTGATATTCTGACAATTCCTGGAGCCTTGTTTTTTGCCAATGCCTTCAGTGTAGCTTGGACTTCTTCCGTCAGTACCATCAGTTCCTGATCATATGTTACCTATTGAAAAGGTTGAACATCAACCAATTCTTTTTGGTATAATGACTCTGTGTATTCCTTCCATCTTCTTTTGATGCTTCCTGAGTCATTTAGTATTTTCCCCATAGAATTCTTGGAGAAATATTTTCTATGCACTCATCACTACCCCAACCAATGTCACAGCATGGGAATTATTTTGACACTACCCTTTTAACTAATAGTTATCTCATTTTTCTTCACTTTGACAGTCTATAATTTATTTTGGTAGGTGTATTATCCCTACTTCATTTAAGTTACTTCCTTCTTATTATATATATTTCAGTTTAGTACTTCCTATCTTTTTCCTCTGTTCTTTCATTTTCTTATTTTTATACAGAATGGCTTGTGATCTTCTCTTAAATCCAAACATTTTGATTATAAGTAGGAACAAGTATCTGTCTACTTAATTATATCTTCTAATATAGTTGTTCCCAAATATTCATGTACTGAAATACATATTATTTTGTTATAAATCATTTATTTCTCCTTTATGTTACAATTAGTGCTATGTAGATATATATTTTAGAAATTGAAGGTAGGTGATTTCATCTATTAATTTCATTTTAGAGTATTAAAGTGGACATTATAATTATTTTTTATAAAAACAGGATGTTGGATTCTGATAAGATTGAAAACCGCATTAAAGAATTATATACATTACTCCTACAACTTTCCACTGAGTGGAAGGTTAAACCAGGGGCTTCAAAAGTCTATGAATCACCTCACCGTCTCTGCCTTCCAGTGGTATCTTTCCGTGTTGCTCTAGACAACTCCACCCAACTCCAAATATTATTCCCAAGAACAGACCTAGTTCTCTTCTCTTTAATGATTAGATTTCCAGTTTATACTGGGAAGCTTGTAATAATTTTTCTCATTTTGGTCACTACTCTTTTCCTCCCCAAGCCCCCAAATGGCTTTTCTTCTCCTTCAAATTAAAGTGCGTTCTAAAAGATGCCCCTCTAAAAACTTCCTTAGCAATTGTCCTTCTCTGAGACTTCTGTAGCACTGGATACAAAACTCACTTGTATATTAGCTTCTGGGAGACTACACTATTTACGTAACCTCTTTAACTTTCTGGCTTCTCCTTTAAGTGTGCCTCCAGGGTATTTCTGTCACATACCTAAATACAGAAGTTTCTAAGCATCAGCCCTCTACTCTTCTTTGTCTTCTATTTCTGTTTAAGACCAACCATTCTCACAGCTTCAAATGTCACTACTCCGATGACTCAACGTTCCCTCTCTACTCTTACTTCTAACTAGTACTTTAGTACCACCTGTACAACTGCCCCCTGCAACTTTGTACGTGTCTAACAATCACCTTAACTAAACTCAGTAGGTTTTGAGATACTCATCATCCTCCCTCAACCTCCAAACCATATTCTCCTTTATAACTTCCCCATTTCTCTATGTCTCATAACTTGGGAGTTATCTTTGACACTCTTCCCTTACACCTCATCTTCCAAACCAAGTCTTATTTCTACTTGTTTCTCCTTACAGAGCTTCCCTAGCATTTATCCCTTCTTTTCAATTTCCACTTCCATCTCCTCAGATCAGGTTATCCTCATTGCTGCAATAATTTATTTCTATCTCCAGATTCTCCCCATCTTTTAACCTCCCCTATCCATACCTTGGAGCCCTGGTGGCACAGTGGTTAAGAGCTCAGCTGCTAACCAAATGGTCAGCAATTCAAATCCACCTGCCGCTCCTTGCCCACGGGGCCAGTTCTACTCTGTCCTACAGGGTTGCTATGAGTCAGAATCGACTCGATGGCAACGAGTTTTATCTATACCTTGCTATCAAGTCTTCCTAAAATGTTGCTTCAGCAGTTTATTCTTCTATTCAAAAAGTTTCCATAGCTTCCAATACCCTCAGGTTAATGTCCAAATTCTTTTGGTCTGGCTTTTAAGGTCTTTGTTAAACTGGTTCCACACTCTGTATACAGAATTCTGTACTCAGTTCTCTAATTCTGACCCTCTGCTTTAGCTATGCAAAGTACTCCACAAGGATGTCTCAGTACCCTCACTTCTGTCATTTCCCTGCCTGTAATACTGCATACATTTATAGGTTTGATTCAAGTCACATTTTCTTTAAGGTCCCTTCCCTGACTACTCTAACCACAATGATCTTTCCCTTATTTGAATTATTACAACATTTACTGTCTTTAATACCCAATTTGATGGACAAGTATTGTCATTTAATGAATAACAACTTTATACCACAAGTGATCTACAGGCTTAGGGATCACAATCTCTCTTGTGTATCTTCCTATGGTACTTGGAACAATTTTAGTGCTAAAGAAATACTTGAATTTACTTAAATAATTTTCTATTTAGTCACAAAATAAATATTCTTATGGTCATTCATTTTATTACAACACACATGTTAATCAGTGACTACAATGTAATAGGCACTGTTACAAAAATAAAAAAATGATGAAGATATGGATCTCTATCTCAAAGAGCTCCTTGTCTAATAAGGAATAGTGGCAAACACCTCATTAAAATACAGTATAATAAAACCAATAGTGCCTGGCTTGCAGGAAACACTGAAATGTTTGCCAAATCACTGAATGAGCGAGCAGATTTACAGAAGACTGCTATATTCGTGAGTTGAAATGGGAGATATAGCGTAAGGTTCAAAATTTCTACAGAGATAAGGACTACAAAGTGATTTAAGTTTACACAAACACAGGTAAGCTGCGACTAGTTAAGAAAATAGTTCATACTTGTCTTTGTTATTTCTGTTAATGTTTATATAATGGCAGTGTGGTAAACAAGTTTCTACATAGGAAAGGTGATCCTGTATACATACCCATGAGGTCAGCAAATCCTCCAACTGGCAGTCGGCAGGTTCCAGTTACAAACTGCAGAAGTCTCATTCTCTTCTCATTATCAATTTCTTTAACAAACTATTAAAAGCACATTTTAAGAGCTACGTAGGTCATATGTTTAGCATACTAAACCAGAAGAAAAAAAATCATCATTTCAAATTTTAAATGAACCCCTGGTGTCAGCTGCACTAGATAATGACTACACCCAAGACTGTGGATGTAGGAGCATCTTCATGTTTGTCAAAGCACCACCAACCTTCCCCTATATACATATTAGGACCACATCCTCACAGTGAGATAGAAAAAGAAGGATACCCTTTCTTTCTATATCCTCATGCAGTCTCAAGATTAGCTTTTCCAGGGCAGTTCTTCCCTTTTTCTCCCTAGAAGGCCAGTCCAATAGGACATTCATGTGGTGACATAAGACACAGAGCTTGATTCAGAACACTTTTTGGTTTCATGAACAAATAAAATTAAGCTCATAGAATGATAATCCAGAGACATCCCAATAACTTCCTTTCCTCATTGTCCTTTAAGGGTTTTTATTTTTTTAATTGATAGGTGTGAGTTTATCGGTGTCATTTTGTAGTGCTTTTTTTTGTGGTGCTGACATTTTCTCTGTCCCTCTTACTCTCCTGTGCTGAATTCCTTTCGTTTGTTCAGTTTTTTTTCATTTCTTCTGTTTTTGTATATTTTATTTTTACAGAGTGTCCTTCAGGTTTTGGTGCTGCCACTCACGGCCAGAATTATGTGGCTTTTATCTCCTACCACTCTGACTCAAAACATTAGGTTTCTAGAAGATGTTTTTTAGCCTATAGCACTTTTGTAGCACAGTTCTTTTAGCTCCGTCAAATACTTTATTGAAAGAACAATTTTTATCCTATTATATTATTGTTAATTATTTTTAAATGCTAATCCTATTTGTTACAGAAGCTCAGTTCATCTTTGAGTTACTCATATGAATTTCTTTACATGCACAGCCTACATTTTTTGAAAAGACACCGTATGACTCCAAACCAGGTCTGTAAGTTTTGCCTTCTGAACATTATTTCACTCTTAATGAGGAATGAATGATGAAAACCATACTTTAGACAGTTTTATAAAATTCTGAAACATTTAGATCAAATGCAGGTGAATCTTACTATCTGGAGCTGTCTTACATTTGGGCATAAGGAGTAAGGTGTGTTGCTTACTTGGCAACAGTCTTAAAGGTATGCTATTATATTCAGTATAATCTAGTTATTTGATATATAGTATGGCCTATGAAGCCTGCACACACTGATACATTTTGTTCTGTGATTCATGATAAGCAATTTCTAAAAAATTATACTGTCTTCCAGTAGAAATAAAGTAAGAGACAAACCTGCCAAAACCACATGATTTGCTTGCTTGTCCTAGTGTAATGACGGTAGATGGCATGTCTTTGCCAGTCATTTAAATCAATCTCTTGCATTCCACATAAAAGGACCTTTAGGGATGAAAAAGACAAAAATTTTTCAAGGTAATTTTAAAGCCTGTATCAAAAAGCTAGATGTAGATAAGAAAATACTAATATTAAACACAGCTTTCAAAAAACAAATTACTCATAAGGCTTCAGCTTGTAAAATGCCTCGTAAAGGTGAATTTCTATGTGAGGTGCCATATATACACATATTCAGGGAAATACACCACTCATTGAAGAGGAGTCCTCATAGTAATACATATTTTCTTTTTGAGGGGGTTAATACTCTTCTTTTATCTCAGGATAAATAGTGGATTTTTAACCACTGGAATGCTTCAAAATATCCTGTCAGAATAACTACTACTGCCCCTGGACAGATGGCACCAGATGGCATTATTGACCAGTACGCTGCAGGAAAAAAAAGAAAAACTTATTACCTCTAATTCCTTTGCATCAAAGTATTGCAAATACTGCTGGGGAAGTATTTCATTAAAGCCCTCAAAGAAAGCTTGTGTCTGTTCTTCAACGCCTCGAGACAACCTCCACTCAGCTACCATTCTGGAAAGCAAAATAAAAGCTATCTATCAGGAAGTTTAGATTTTACCTGTAAAATTCTATGTGTGAAAATAATTTTATAAAAACTTTATTACTATGAGAAGTTCAAATATATACAAAAGTATAGAAAATAATATAATGAGCCCCATGTACAACTCTCCCAACTTCAATACAAGATCAATCTTATTCCATCCATGCCCTTTTCCATACCCTAGATATCACTTCAAACATAAAATATTTCAGTATATGTCTCTAAAAAAATAAGGTCTCTTTTTAAAAACATAATCACAATACCATTATCACACACAAAAAATAACAATTCCTTAATATAAAATATTCAGTGCTCAAATTCTACTGATGGACTCAACTTTTTTTACTTTGTTTGAATCAGAATCCAAAAAATTCATACACTGCAAGTCTCTTATATTTCTTTTAATCTATAGGCTTTCCTCTCCTCTTTACAAATTTTTCTTAAATGGAAATATCTTTAAAGAAAATTCTCTATCAAATATTCCAGATTTCAACTTTGCCTTTCTTCGAATTTTCATTTATGTATCGACATCTTTAAAGAGTTAAAATCATAAATAAACTGATTTTTTCCATTTTGTTACAGAATTATATTTACTTTTTTAAAACTTTAGTGCCAGGAATGTGTATTTTAGGCATGTGATTACTTGACAACAACTTATGACAATTTTTAGAGTCCCAGAAGTTTACAGTAAACTCTCTAAAATTCTGGAAAATAGTAGTGTATGTTGTATCGGACTAATCCTCCTAAAAAAAAACCTGTTGCTGTCGAGTTGATTCTGACTCACAGCAACCCTACAGGACAGAGTAGAACTGCCTCCATAGAGTTTCCAAGGAGCGCCTAGTAGATTCGGACTGCCGACCTTTTGGTTAGCAGCTGTAGCACTTAACCGCTATGCCACCTGGGTTTCCAATCCTCCTAGTGATAACAATTATAAACTCTAGGAAAATTATAAAAAAGCAACCATTTGAAGGGACCAGAGAGAAACCAAAAGCAAGCAGACACTGGAGGAGATGAGATCCTTGAAAGGAGGTTGGCAAACTAGAGGAGATGCCCTTTTATTAGATTTTTACCCTGAGAGCACTTCCCAGTTTATACAAAGCACATGGGAATATGGCTCAAGCAAAAAGCAACAATCATATTAGGCTAAGGAGACATGAGGTTGGGAGTATGAAGCTGCCAAAGCAGCTAGGGGGAAAATTCCAAAAAGAATGGAGACAGAAACAATGAGACCCCAAATGTGCATACACATTCACCTCAAATCTTTACTGGTTCCTAAATTGCACATGTGTACAATGATGTCGGAATTGACTCAACGGCACAAAACAACAGGATGATGAGACTCAAAAAAATCCTGTAGAAAGCAGCAACCGGAAAACTAAAGACTTAAGCAGAAATTTAAGCAGATACCTACTGCTGGAGAGACAGAATTTAACAGTTTACACCTCACAAAGTTTAAGGGACTCATCCTTAGACCTTTCCACCAATAACGCAGAAGGGTCACACCTCAGGAAGAAAGACCACGTACCAGGAATAAAGGTTATGCTCTAGGACCGAGGGAAAAATGGAAACAGATCAGCTTTAGCAAGCTTCCGCAAGATCAAAGTAGTTTGCCTGTAATTTAAGTGCCTCCCAGAAAAAAACTCAACACTCTTTAGAGACCAAAAAAGAATCCAGAGTCTCCACCATGTATCATCTATTTAAAAAAAAAAAAAAAAAAAAATCACTATACATACAAGAAGCAGGAAAATGTAGCCCATAATCAAGAGTAAAAGTATATTAAAAAAAATTTTTTAAACAAGAGTAGAAGTATACATAATAAGAACCACAGATGATTCAACGCTGCAGTCAGCAAAGACTTTAAAAGAGTTATTTAAAAATCTATTAAAGAACTACAGGAAAAGATGGATAAAATGAGTAGAGATGGGGATTCTCAGCGAAGAAATGCAAATCCTAATAAGAGCCAAATGGAAATTCTAAAATACTTGAATATCTGAAATGAAAACTTCATTGGATGTGCTAAGGAGCAGAAAAAAAAAACATCAGTGAATTCGAGGGTATGTCAATCAAAATTATCCAGACTGAAGCACAAAGAAAAAGATTGAAAAACATGAACAGAACGTCTGAAAACTGTGGGATGATAGCAAAGGTTAAATGTATGTGTAATTAAAACCTCTGAAGTAACTGAAGTAATGTAGAGAGGGAATGAGGCAAAAGGAACACCTATAAAGTCAAAAAATTTCCACAACTGATAAAATGTCATCAAACACTGATCAAGAGCTCAGCAAACACCAAGCAGGATAAATATAAAAGCAATCACACTTAGGCATATCACAGTCAAACAGCTAAAAACTAAAAGAGAAAATCTTTTTAAAAGTCAAAGAGAAAAATACACATTTCATTCATAAAAACAATAAAACCAATGGCTGACACTATCAAAAGCAATGGAAGCTAACAATGTCATGACACTGTTGAATGAAAGAAGGTGCTGAAAAGGGCAGGGGGGACTATCAACCTAGAATTCTATATTTAGTGAAAATATCCTTCAAAACAGAAGGTGAAATAAAGATGCTTTCAGATAAAAGCTAAGAGAATTAACTACCAGCAGATGCACATGAAGAGAAATGCTAAAGAAAGTTATTTAAGTTGAAGGGAAGTGATCCCAGATGGAAAAATATATCTGTGGTAAAAAATGAAGAGGGCCAGAAATGGTAATAATGTGAGTAATTATAGCTAAAAACCAACAGAATACAATTTCACTGAGTGGATTGTAGGTATATGAAATATACCTCAATAAAATTGTTTAAAAAAAAAGGGTCCTATTTGCTTAATTTACTTAATGAGTTCAGGTCTTCAAAAACAAAGAAACCGACTTCGGGGCAACATGGCACTATACTCAGACGCACCGCGCTGTCCCTCCACAGCAAAGATCAGAAAAACAAAGTGAAACAGAGTCACACGTCAATCCTGAAACCCTAAGCATCAAATGAAGAAATAAAGAACTCAGCCAAGCACCAAATGGAATAAGAAACTGACCCGAGAACAGAGAGTGAGGAGAGATACGTGCAGAGGTCCCCTATCAGCTACCGCAGCTCTGATCTGCCTTTTAGGACTCCTAACAGAGATCAGCGAACAGGGGGTATGAGAAAGCAGCTTCACAGAGCTTCCAGCAGGAGACACAACAACTGGTAACCAGCGATATACACTTTCCCACCCCCACCCTTCTTCACCCCAACTCAGCCTCCTCTGCTTCCTGCAGCCACAGTCTCTTGGCTAGGAAGCAACGGCTTCACCCCAGTGTCGCTTGGAATCCACCCGCCCGCACTGGCCGGCTACCTGAATGCCTTCTGTTGGCTGCTGTGTTGCTTTTTTCACTTCTCTAGATTTCTTCCTTACCTCTCACCACCTACCCCTCCATTCTCTCAAATACCTGTCTCCGTGCACCAACTTTGCTTCTTCCTGAAAGGCTGCAAAACACCGCTCCACTGTGAAACTGCTTCCTGGCCTGTGCCGCCACACTGGTGGGACGCCTGGGGCTTTCCTGTTTGTTTGTTTCCTCGGATTTCTTCTGTTTTGCTTTATTTCTTTGTCTTCTTTTTCTTTTCTCGGCTTGGGAACCCCTTCTAGCCGGGCAGTACTGCGCGGCTTACAAGCTACTCCCTTACTCTGCGCAGACACACAGGGACATTCCTGGGGGCATCTTTTTCCCCTTGGTTTTGCTTTTTTTTTTTGTTTGTTTCTTTGTTTTGTTTTCTTCTCTCTCTCATTCCCTTTTTGTCTTTCTTCATTTCCAGTTTATTGATTTACTCATTTTTTTCTTTTACCCTTTTTCTTTTTTTTTTCATTTTTGTTTTTCCCCATTTCTCAGTCTCTCATCTCTCCACTCCAATAGCAAGCTCCCTTAGCACTCTTTTTTTGTTTCTGTGTATGTTTTAGGCTCCTGTTCCTCACTCCTCTCTCATCTTTGCCATACCGATCACAATCTACCCCCTACTTCCTGCCTACCTGAACCGTGCGCTGAACATCACACACCCAAGCAGCACAGCCACAGCATACTGGAACATGCCCTGCACCGATTCCGAGTCTGCACTGTCAGCCCTGGTATATGCCACAAATGACCCATCCCATCAACTCCCCTTCAGCTGGACCTTCCCTGCTATACCATACCTGAGTGATTAACCCTGCCCATTGGAGAAGGAAGTGAAAAGTATCACGCCCACAGAGGAGCAAACAACAAAGAACGCACAGGCCACCTGCTCAGACATAACCAAATAAAACAAAAAAGCAGGACAAAACAAACAAATCTACAATCAATAAATGACGAAAATAACCACTGAATGCCCCAAAGATAGCAGACAATATCAAAACATTTACAAAAACAGGGCAGGATGGTTCCAGTAGGTGTCCAAAATAAAACACCAGATGACCTTCCAGTAGAAGAAAAGGCACTAGACCTAACTGATAGGGAATTCAAATCGCAAATATTCAGAATTATTCAAGAGTTGAAGCAAAGAGCAGACAAAAATGAGGGAAAAAACAGACGAATTCATGGAAAAGACAGACAAACTCATGGAAAGTACAGACAAAAAAAATGGAAGAATTCAAGAAAATAATACAGGAAGAAAACGCTACAATAAATTCACAACTAGAAATCATACAAAAACAACAATCAGAAACCCAAAAGATATACAAGATTTCAGAAATGGACAGTGTCCTAGAAGGGCTGAGGAGCAGGTTTGAAATGATGGAAGATAGAATCACCAAAATTGAAGACAAACACTTGGATACCACTCTAAGGAAAAATCAGAAAAAAAAGAAACAAAGAAAAATGAAGAAACCCTGAGAATTATGTGGGATACAATCAAAAGCAAAAATCTGTGAGTGATCGGAGTTCCAGAACAGGGGGAGAAAACAGAACACACAGAGAGGATCACTGAAGAACTGCTGACAGAAAACTTCCCCAATATCATGAAAGATGAAAAGCTGACCATCCAAGAAGCTCACTGAACACCATACAGGATAGACCCCAAAAGAAAATCACCAAGGCATACCATAATCACACTCACTAAAACCAAAGACAAACAAAGAATCCTGACAGCAGCTTGCGAAAAACATAAAGTCACATACAAAGGAGAAACAATAAGAGTAAGCTCAGATTATTCGGCAGAAACCAGGCAGGCAAGAAGGCAGTGGAATGACATATATAAAACCTTGAAAGAAAAAAATTGTCAACCAAGAATGATATATCCTGCAAAACTCTCATTCAAATACGATGGTGAAATTAGGTCATTTCCAGATAAACAAAAATTAAGGGATTATGTAAAAACCAAACCAAATTTACAAGACTTATTAAAGGGAGTCCTTCGATCTGAGAACAAACAACATCAGACCACAGGCTGAATATAAGACACAGGACTGTACTAGCTGGATACCAACCTAGGAAATGAACTCTTAAGGACCATGCAAAACCAAAAGAACTACAACAGGGAACCAGAGAGGTTAATCTGTAAATGACAACAACATCAGAACAATAAAAGAGGGAATAAACGGTGTAGGTATATAACCTTCTAATGGAGAGGAAGGCAAGGCGATAGCAAGTAATAATAGACTGGTTCAAATCTAGGAAGATAGCGGTAACCACAAAGAAAGTTAACAAACCTAATCATCAAAATATAGAAGAAAAACACAAGTCTCAGTAAACACAAAACCTACGAAAACAAAAGAAATGAAAAACAAATCCACAAACAAAAGGAACTCAGCACAGGAGAGTAAGAGGAACAAAGAAAACATCAGCACCACACACACACGAAAAAAAAAGCACTACAAGATGCAACCCCACTCCTAGGAATATATCCTATAGGAATATATCCTAGAGAAATAAGAGCCGTCACACTAATAGACATATGCACACCCATATTCACTGCAGCACTGTTCACAATAGCAAAAAGATGGAAACAACCTAGATGCCCATCAACAGATGAATGGATAAACAAACTATGGTACATACACACAATCGAGTATTATGCAAAGATAAAGAACAATGATGAATCTGTGAAGCATCTCATAACATGGATGAAAGTGGGGGACATTATGCTGAGTGAAATAAGTCAATCACAAAAGGACAAATATTGTATGAGACCTCTACTGTAAAAATTCACATAAAAGTTTACACACAGAAAGAAACAATCTTTGTTGGTTACCAGGGATGGAAGGGGTGGGGGGCAAAACTAAATAGACAATAGGTAAGTGGTAACTTTGGTAAAGGGTATGACAATGCACAATACTGGGGAAGCCACCACAACTTGTACAAGCAAAGGTCGTGGAACCTCCATAGACACTTCCAAACTCCCTGAGGGACTGAATTGCTGGGAGGAGGGCTGTGGGGACCACGGTCTCAGGGAACATCTAGCTGAACTGGCATAATACATTTTGTAAAAACAGTGTAATACATTCTACCTTGGTGAGTAGCGTCTGGTGTCTTAAAAGCCTGTGAGAAGCCATCTAAGATACTCCACTGGTCTCAACCCTTTGGGAGCAAGGGAGAATGAAGAGAACAAGATACAAGGAACAGATTAGTCCAAAGGACTAATGGACCACAGCTACCACGGCCTCCACCAGACTGAGTCCAGTACAGCTGGATGATGCCCAGCTACCAACAGTGACTGCTCTGACCCGGATCACAATAGAAGGTCCAGGACAGAGCTGGAAAACGATGTAGAACAAAATTCTAACACACACACACAAGACCAGATTTAATAGCCTGACAGACCGGACAAATCCCGAGAGTATGGCCCCCAGACACCCTTTTAGCTCAGTGGTGAAGTCACTCCTGAAGTTCACCGTTCAGCCGGGGATTGGACAGCCTCATAAAACAAAACAGGACTAACAAGGCACACCAGTCCAGAGAAAAGGATTAGAAGGCAGGAGGGGACAGGAAAGCTGGTGATAGGGAACCCAAGGTTGAGAAGAGACAGTGTTCACATGT